TTCCCTATTTATTTCCCTTTTTATTTCCCTATTTTTTTTTTCACCGATTTATTTCCCCATTTATTCGCCCATTTATTTCCCTATTTATTTCCGTATTTATTCCCCTATTTATTTCCCTATTTTATTCCCTATTTATTTCCCGTTTTTTCCACTATTTATTTCCCTATTTATTTCCCTATTTATTTCCCTATGTATTTCCCTATTTATTTCCCTATTTATTTCCCTGTTTATTTCCCTATTTTTCCCCCTATTTTTTTCCTGATTTATTTCCCTATTTATTTCCCTATTTATTTCCCCATGTATTTGCTATTATTTCCCTATTTATTACCATATGTTTTTCCCCATTTATTTCCCTATTTATTTCCCTATGTATTTCCCTATTTAATTCACTATTTATTTCCCTTTTTTTTCCATACTTTTTTCCCTGTTTATTTCCCCATTTATTTCCCTATTTATTTCCTTTTTTTTTCCTATTTATTTCCTAACTCATGTTCTTATTTATTTCCCTGTTTATTTCCATATTTATTTCCCTATTCATTTCCCGTAACTATTTCCCTATTTATTTCCTTATTTTTTGCCCTATTTATTTCCAGTTATTTTTCTGCAATTATGTCCGTATTTATGTCCCTGTTTGTTTCCCTAATTATTTCCCGTACAGTAATTATTTCCTTATTTATTTCCCTGATTCCTTTCCCCTATGACTAACCTCCCCCCAAATAATAAAAACCAGGGTCCGTCTTCAAATTTGGAAAATTTGAGGTTGGCCAATTTGATTTTGAATTGATCCCCCTTGGAACACAATTTAAAACTGAAGCTACCATTTCAGGGTTTCACCCCCTAATAATAAAAACTAGTCAACCCGGTTGTGTTTTTTGTTAGGGTCTGGTTGGAAAAAATGTTTTTGTATATTAATGTTTCTAATTTTTATATTAGGGAAAGCTTCGAAATCCAATTTTTGGCAATATCTTACCTGTTACACCGTCAGAAGTACAATTTCTTTGGCAGCATAATTATTAATAAAGATTAATAAAGTGTGTTTTTGAGAATAATTATTCTCCTATACGATAAAACCCGTTCAAGCATTGGACAACCTCTTTGGGTTACTATTTTGAAGCCCCCAAAACGGCAACTATTTCTGCTGATTTTGAGCTCCTATGCAGCTATTTCTAGTGATTTTATGCACCTATTTCTGGTGATTTCATGCAAAAGGCACCAGCACCCTGACAACCGGGAAATTGGAGAAAAAGTTCAAATATGTGGCAAACCTTATGGCACTGTTCAGAACCGTTCAGGGCCATTAAAGACCGTAATGTGTACGTTGTTTCCCATTCAAGACCGTTCTCCGAAATCCAAACCGTTCGGATTACGTTCAAAGTACGTTCAAATTACGTTCGATTACGTTTAAGTTGCGCAAAAAAATACGTAAATATTACGTAAAAAATAGGGTTCCAAAACAGCACTTTTTATGCAGCTATTTCTGGTGATTTCATGCAAATAAAAAGGGTTTTATGAACCATATATGCAAAAGGCACCAGATACGTTAAAAACCGTTCGAGGTCGATAAAAACCGTTCTGGTAGAATAAAAAGTCAAAAAAAGACAAAAGATTAATAAAAGTCATCCTGTTGAATAATTATTCTTTTTAGGGTGGAACAGGTAATTAGATTCCAAACGGAAATCTAATCGATTTTGAAATAGAACAAAATAGTTTTTATATTCTGGTTTTAAATTTACAATTAGGGGGAAGCTTCGAAATCCAATTTTTGGCAATATATCAAGTAGATTTTGAAAGGAAATTAATTGGTTATGAAATAGAACAAATTCTTTTTTTATATTAGGGTTTTATACTATTAGGGGGAAGCGTCGAAATCCAAATTTTGATATTTTTGGCAGTATTTTAATATTTATTGCCCGTAATTATTTCACCATTTATCCTTAATTATTTATTTCCCTTTTGATGTACTTATATATTTCCCTATTTGTTTCCCGTATTTATTTGCTTATTTATTTCCCTATTTATTTCCCGTAATTAATTTGTTTCCATATTTTATTTTCCTCATTATTTCCCTATTTGTGTCCCTATTTATTTCGCGATTTATTTACCTTTTTATGTCCCTACTTTTTCCCTAGTTTTTCTCTATTCTTCATTTATTTCCATGATTTGTCCTTATTGATTTTCTATTTTTCCGTATTTGTTCTGTATTTATTTGATCTGTACACATCGCTGTTGTGCCAAGGAAATACACAGCTCCAGGGACATCAGGGGACAGCCAAGGACTTGCGATGTCTGACTCAGCTCCTGAAAGCAACTTGTACTTCGAGCTTCCTTGAAATACGCTGCATTCACCAGGAATTGGTTCTCGTGGCAAGCTTCCTGTGCTTCATCACACGACAACCAAGCTTGCCTAAAGATGACATGGGCACATGATGATCCCTGCATCGATATTGAAGGAAAAGGCGATCCGCTATCAACCAAGACCACGTCGGACTCCAAAAAATGCTCTGGATGATCAAGTCTAAAAACCATAATGATGATCAAAACCAAATGTCAAAACCAAAACCATATGGATGATCCGATCAAACCACGTCAAAACCAAAAGTTGGATGATCCCAAACTAACCGCAGCATCCTCTGGAATGTCTGTTGTCAAGCCATGGAGATGGGCAAAGTGGCAGGATGCAGAAAGCAACTCGCGACCTGAAGCGGCCCGGTGACCCGGTGAGTGATACCCTTGGAGGATCATCCCATGACTCGCAACTGCTTAGTGTTTGCGGAGTTGCTCATTTATAGCTCTTATAATATAACAATCAGATATAATATGATATCATCAGATATAAATGGGATATAAATGGGATATAATTGTGATAATTAACCCACTTAAGGGACTTCTTAACCAAGCGATAATAAAAACCACTCGCGATTCATGGGATGATGGTGGCTAGTGGGCCAAGTTGGCTGGGAAATCTCCAGGAGCGAGGTTTCGTTCACTGGGAAAATCATGGAGGTTACTGAACTGTCTTGCCATGTATGGATATGAATCAAAATCCTGGTAGTGAGCTTTTGTTCCGTTTTGACCCATCCAAAAATATCCACGGTAACCATGATACATTACCATCATTATGATCAATGCAATGTTATGTAAACCATCATTTTAATATGGGGATGGGTCAAAACCCTGGTACCTAGTGAACCCCAAAATAGCTGGTAAATGGATGTTCATCCCACTAAAAATGTATCTATAGGTATTGACCCATACCATACCCATATTAACATCATCATTTTTACGCTACTTTGGGGTACCCCATGTTCAGACAAGGCCATTCTTTGCCTGAGGCTTTGACAAAGCAAATCCAGCGCCATGGGAGTACGAGAGGAAAATTGAAGGATTCCAAGCAGTCCTCACAGGATGTCGCTGTGGCGCTTGGGTAACAACTAACCACCCAAAATGGTTTACACATGTTTACACAATGTCACAGTGTCATATTGGTGGGTAAAACCAACAGTTTGGGGCACCATACTCCATAGACTCCATCTCAAGTTCTGTTTATTTCTGAGTGAAGGTATTTGTACATCTATGATGGCACTTTCAGAAGACCTTCAAAGATCCCAATGATATTCCACTATTATCCCACTAATTTATCCTTGTATAAAGCATTATATATCCCAATGATTCTTCCCATATCCGACTATAGTCAGTGGGACACTATAATCGGGATTTAACTACATCGTATTGTCCCACTTTTCTTGGATGGTTCAACAGTTAAACTCCCATATTTTTGGGGCCCAGGTCCCCTCGGTCCCCTCCCAGGCCACCAAGGCTCGTTGTTTTTCCAGCTTCGACAAAGGACGATTGACCCATGACTGTCGCACCAACTCGACCGCAGCCTCCATGCCTGTCACCTCGGATGGGAATCAATGGGGGAACCCATTAACGATAGAAAAATCAAGTCCTACGAAAATAGTAATGGGGTTCATGATGTTTGGGTTAATAGAAATGATCTATCAATCATGATGATAATTTTAATGGCTTTTCTATGTCTTTTGGGGGTTAATTATAGTTAATGTAGGTGTGTCTGAAAATGTAGCGGAAGGGTACCCCATGTCATCCACTCTTCAACCGTTGTGAAAATGGTTGCATCTTTAGGTATACCCCCATAGTCAGGCATATAATTAATGACAGCACATGAAATAACTTTGAAATAAGTAAATCATGTTTTTTTTCGCTCAGAAAATTGACCAATTCTGGATGAGTTCGGCTCCAAAGAATTTGGGAACATGCAAATGACATGTAACCTAGTTCAACTAAGTCGCTCCCAATCGTGGGTCAGGCAACCCACAATCCGTTCCTGCATACAGGCTGGCCAAAAGAAGTCTGGATTGGACGGTCTCTGCCACCAGATGCTTGAATCTCTCGTGCACGTCAAAGCAAACCTGCAGGCTTCACCAGAATTTTGTGATCTCAATTCAAAAGGTCACCCTCCATCAGTCATGGGTTCTCTATGGATATCCTTTATAAACTTTATATCATTCCGTGCTCGTTTAAAATGACTCTCCCAGATTCCGTGATCCTGCGTACCTGGGATTCTCACTGGTGACGAACTGTAGCGACTCATCATCCGTTCCCCTCCAAATTTGACCCTTCCTTTGAGGAAACACCATGAAACAGCCAAATTCAGACAAGTAGCAGTGGTTTGTTGCGCATCACTCGCAGAGTCACTCACCAGTGACAAGGGCACTCCATCCTTGACATCCGCATCCTTCACGATGACCTTCACTTCAGAAATCGAGAGATCCTGACAGCAGCAGTGAAGAGATTGAAAAGTCAGGCTATCCATGGATATCCTATCCTGTGATCCAACGCACTTGGGAAGACACACCTGTTCTGTCCAAAAATTGGTCATGCGAAATCCATGGTTTCACCATCAGAAATGACCATGCCATGGATGAGGTTGGGTAATCCAACATGTTTGGACAAATTTCATGTGTTGCTGTTCCATATGCTCAGTACCAGGCATTTGGATCCACTCTCTTCAAAACCAAGTAGGAATCAAAGTCGACCAATGTGTCGCTCAACTTCTGATCGTCGGCCAAACAATAGCCGCGATAGTCTCTGCACATCCACTGGCCATTCTTCCGAGTAAAGACCATGTTCACACGCGGAAGCTCCAGTTGTTCAATTTCATTCTCCCCACAGCCACCTTTGCATTGAATGTATTGGTGAATAAATTCTCGATCCTCAAACTTGTGCAGGATGTTCATCACTGGAGCATCTTCATTGACAAGTTGGTGCACAATATCTTGGTGCATCAGCAACTCTTCCAAATCTTTCCTTCTCAAGTGCTCCGGGATTTGGCGGCAAACACCATAGGTGCCATCTTGATCTGTCTCTTGACTCGGCTCATAGATGAAATGAATCGACTTTTCACGGAAATAGATGGGACGAAACAGGATCACATTGCGTTCTTCATCCCTCCAATGGCTGTAGAGCTCGATCAAACGCCGTGGAAATTTCTCTAGGCGTTCTTTGGGCACCAGTTGGAGAGAACGGCCTCAAGTCACGGAGATTAGGATGAATCAGCTGTATCAAGGGCACAGAACAAGATGCAACCCACTAACCCGAATGCAGTCACGTAGAACATTTTTGTGAAACAAATTATTTGAATAGTCTACATGTTTCCCCTGTTGCCGTACCAGTGCACTGTAGACTGAGGAATGCGGAAGAGGGTGGAGTGCAAAGTGTGGAGTGTGGAGTGTAGAGTGTAAACTGTAGAGTGTGGAGTGTAAAGTGTGGAGTGTGGAGTGTAAAGTATAAAGTGCGGAGTGTGGAGTGTACACTGTGAAGTGTGGACTGTAAAGTGTAAAGTGTAAAGTGTGGAGTGTGGAGTGTAAAGTGTAAAGTGCGGAGTGTGGAGTGTACAGTGTGAAGTGCGGAGTGCAAAGTGTAAAGTGTAAAGTGTGGAGTGTGGAGTGTAGAGTGTAGAGTGTAAAGTGTAGAGTGTAAAGTGTAAAGTGTAAAGTGCAACGTGTGGAGTGTAGAGTGTAGAGTGCAAAGTGTAGAGTGTAAAGTGTAGAGTGTAAAGTGTGGAGTGAGGAATGTAAAGTGGAAAGTTTGGAGTGTAAAGTGTGGACTGTGGAGTGTGGAGAGTAAAGTGTGGAGTGTAAAGTGTAGAGTGTAAAGTGTGGAGTGTGAAGTGTGTAAAGTGTAAAGTGTGGAGTGTAGAATGTAGAGTGTGGAGTGTAGAGTGTGGAGTGTAAGGTGTAGAGTGTGGAGTGTGTAGTGTAAAGTGTGGAGTGGAAAGTGTAAAGTGTAGAGTGCAAAGTGTGGAGTGTAAAAGTGTAAAGTGTAGAGTGTGGAGTGTGGAGTGTACAGTGTAGAGTGTAGCGTGGAGTGTAAAGTGTGGAGTGTAAAGTGTAAAGTGGGGAGTGTAAAGTGTGAGTGTAAGGTGGGGAATGTAAAGTGTGGAGTGTGAAATGTAAAGTGTGGGGTGGAGTGTAGAGTGGAGTGTTGAGTGTGGAGTGTGGGGAGTGTCGTGTGTAGAGTGTGGAGTGTAGAGTGTGGAGTGTAAAGTGTAAAGTGTGGAGCGCGCCTGGTACGAAAACTGCAACTCATCTTCTGCAAACGACGCAAAAGTATTGCGCCTGCCGAACAAAAGGACTTTCGACACGTTATCAAACAGGTTGGAATGTCACAAAGTGCCAGGCTTGCCACGCAAAACGACATGACAGCCTGCTTGGAAACCTTTGAAAGGGAGAGGTTTTGCAGCTTCCCCCATAGACACGGCGAGGCCACAGGAAAACCAGAGACTTGACACGAGACACGTGGGAGCATCAAAACGAGCATTTCGTGCGAGACTTCCTCCAATTTTGACAATTTGCAGCTTCAAAATCGATGTTTTCCTACGAGTTTGAACCTTAAAATATGCTACCTCAAAATCGATGTTTGTGCAAGGCTTCCGTCAATTTTCGGCACATCTCACAAAATGCCACGCCTGCGACGGAATTTGCACCTTGTCACCACTTGACGCAGATTCGTAAAAACAGGCAAAACGAATCAAAACGACACGTCTAAAGTGCTGCGCCTGCCACGCAAAATGACGATGTGCACGTCCAAAGTGCTGCGCCTGCCACGAAAACTGCAATGCGTCTTCTGAAAACGTCGCAAAAGTATTGTGCCTGCCACACAAAATGACTTTCGACACGTTACGAAACACGTCTGAATGTCACGAAGTGCCACGCCTGCCGCCCGAAACGAAGCAACGCGACATGTGAAACCTCCAAAAGTGACCCCTTTTGCAGAACTTACCATAGGCACGACCATACGGCCCTCACGCAGACGGTTGCGGACGGTTGCGCAACGTCGAGCGAACGCACCCTCAACCGTCAGACCCCCAGAGTGAAACGGGAACCCTTGCTACGCATTCGGGAAAAGAGAACAAGCAAAGCTTTTAGATTCACACTATACCCTCCAGCAATCCAGCAATCCAACATCGCAATTGTGGTATATGTGCAAATGTTGTACCACTCTTGGAAACTAAAGCAATTTCCATCAATTTCCAGTTAGCTATTGCTAGATTTACCGTAATCCCATGTTCCTCACATCATTGTTGCTTATCACTTGTCACTCCAATCATTCTTGGCTATTCCTCCCATTACAATATGGGTTATTCATGGTTATATAACATAATTGTTCCATGTTCTTCTCTTCCCCTTTGCCCATTTGAACTGGTCATTTTCCACAGAGTTCAACTGGGTCCCTAAGTAACTTGGTTGGTCGCCGAGTGTCCATCCTTCAGCTCCGAGATACGCAACTGGCCAGCCGAGAGCTCTTGGAACTCATAGAAACATCCGTCCACTGGCCTTGCTGTCTTGAAGGTTCCCGAGCTGTCCATGCTGACCTGGTGATTACAGGGAAATGGTCCATGCAACCAACAAAATGGGTTGTGTGATGTTCCTATACGAGTATCATGTCAATTTATATGTTCATATCTTTCATATCTATGTTCAGAAATCATATTTGTTTTGGGAGGATGACCAGTCTCCGTTTCATTTTGTGAAATGACCGCGGCACAGCGGCACATGTCAAAAGCAAGCCGTAGCAGCATGGTTTGGAGATCACAGCCACTTCTGTTGTCATTTCGAGTGATCTTTGGGGATATTGTTGGCCGTACCGACCTCAAAGACGGCATCGCCAAAGCAGCGTCGGAAGAGGCGGTGGTGAGCGATGGTCGCCGGGATGCGGCGAGGGGGATAACCGTCCAAGAGCACAACGCCGGTCAACAAGTTGATGCTGTACAGGTGACCCTGATCTTCTGCATGAAAACATGGTGTTGTACCAACTTGCTCCCATTGCAGTGTTTCTGGCACATGCTCCAGGGTGGCTGATACACCTGTTGTGATGAACTCATCGGAGCTTTTGGCAAAGTTCATGACTTCTGCAAGCTTCTGGACGGCAACGGCATCCACCCGACAACGCAGACCCTTCAACATATCTTTTTCTTCGGCTGTTTGAACCTTGAAGGCTATGCTGTTTTGAGCATAAACCAAGCCGACAAGCAAGCGCTGGGCATCTTCGATCCTCAGGGTAGATTGGGGGGTGCAAAGGGCCGCATAAAGCCCAAAGAGCTTCACCTTCGCCACCAAGGCATCTTGACGATCAGATTGAAGGCCTGTCATGTCCGACAAAGCCTCCTTGGCCCACTTCAGGGCCGTCTCAGACAACTGGCAACATCCACTGATCAGAGATAAGGTGGCCAAAGGATCACATGATTCCCATTGGATGAAGTAATTGAGGAGATCCACCAAAGCTGGCAGCGCCTCATGAGCTCTTGGCTTGGCCGAAAATTCCTCTGCCAATGTCACAAAGACCTCCTTGAATTCGTTCATCAGCCCTGGAATGTCACGTTTCCACTGCAGTTCACCATCTTCAGCCGGACCAACATGGTACAAGAGCTGCCGTAGAAGATGGTGTACGGGTGCATGTGTCAAAGGCAACGATGAATCTTGTAGGGCAATCAGCAATTTCCGCAGCTGCTGCTGTGGGAAGGCGCGCAAGCCGCACAAGGCCAAGTATTCGTGCTTCCTCCAATCAACCATGGGGCCGCAACCAAGAAAACGCTCCTTTCCGAAACAAAAAAAGGCAGGTTTCAGCATCGACCCATCGACCCTGTCCTCAACCACTTTGGTTTCTTGCCTTGCGTGGCAAGTGCTTGGTTGCCGCGAGTGCGCTCAATCTCATCTCCAATCTTCATGGTCCACTGCAGATCCATGGCGTTCGAAGCATCGACTCTGTCCAGTGCTCAGTTAGGATACCTGGTGATTCCGACTCCCAGCTGTAAATCGTCAAATGGAACATCTGATGACCAAACAAAATCCGTAAAGGGGAACGTAGAAAATAGATGAGCATGGGCAGCATGGATGAAAACAGTATAAAACAGTTACGTTCAAACCATCATCCAGATACTGTCTGGTAGCTTCCGAAAAGGGTTGAAGAAATTGCCCCGGTCGATCAATCGGCCATCAGATTTGCAAGCGAACTCCCGGTGCATCTCGTCCGGCCACCAGACCTCAAAATCACCATATCTCTACTGACAATATGACCTTCATTTACCTTCGATATCCTTTCATGGGGGACCTGGGTAATAGATGGTGATGGTAATGGACATGGCCCAATTACAGTAATGGGGAATCCTTTACAATGGTCACTGGTCACTGGCTAGTCCCCACCAATGGATGTCACAACCGGAGACAGCTTCCATGTCCTAGACAATGTCTAGGACAAGTGGATCATACTGACGGCGAAACTTGGAAACTGGCACACGGTGTGGTACCAAAATCAACATGACACGTGGATGATCTACAAGTATCTACAAGTCATATATCATCGAGAAATCATGTGGTATAACATGGTATAACCAATGTATAACCAATAAATCAAGGAGGATGTCCCCTTGCCATCACCTGACAGTCCCACCAACGGCGATCACCACGCGACACCATGTCTTGGACTGGTCAAGGCATCGATGTGACCTCCTGCCACCTCCGGGCTCGTGGAACTTGGAGCCTGTGTCCGGCTCAGTAGCTTCACCAAGACATCGATGGTGGGAGGTTTCTCTTGGTTATTGACATTGAAGTACTCCTTTGGCATATTGAAATGATCCGCCCAGCTGGTTTTGAAGTTTGACACTTCCACCGATTGTCTCACATCCCACCTTTCGCGATGGGATTGGATTTCTTTCAACATTCGGAAAGGCTCACACATCTGCACAAAACTTGACAAGGCAATAAAACAAAATAAAACGATAAATGAAACGATATAAAACAAACATTCATGGATTTTTACTCTTGAAAAAATGGTGTTCCAAAAGTCTTTCAAAACCCCTACCTCTGGTGGCAACACCATGGCCAGGGTAACAGCATCTGTTGCGCTTTGATGGCCATATGGGACAGCAATCTCAGGATGTCCGGTTTGTACAGAAAGAATAGGGTGCTATTGGCCAACTCAACATCTTCCGGTAGCGACTGTACCACTGCAGGTGGCGGCTTCTCGGCCCTCTTCAGGTCTGCCTGCGCACGAGATAATTCCTTCTTCAGCGTGGCAATCTCACTCTCCAAGATTGATTTGGCGGGTAAGCTCTCCAGGATGTCCTCTGTTTGATTGTTTCAACCCATCCCAAGAAAATTGTAACATTTTTTTCGATTTGGATCACCATCCCAAACAAATATGGTGGAAAATTGTGGAAAATGATTTAAACATATTAAACATGTAGTTTTTCAACCACCAACCAGTCCTCATATCTGGAAACATCTTGTACCAGTTGCACCTGTCGAATGTCAAGTTCCGCTTGCCTCTGCTCCGCCCGGGCATCTCTCCTTCCGCGCAGTAGAGCTGCAACACCCTCAATTTCCCTGCAGATCCGTTGAATCTCGGCAAGAGTTTTTTCCTTCTTCCTTGGTGACGAAGGTTTCAAAAGGAAGAGGAACCAAAAACAAAGAAGCTGGTTGAAAAAGCCAAATGAAATAACAAAAAAATCCTGTTTCCAGTTTCCAACTTATTTACCACCGTTCCCAACCATTTCCCCTGCCCTTTCTGGCCCACTCTGCTTCCGAGACACCTCTCAGCATCACGCACCGCTTCCAACTGTGGCATCTTCACTTCTAGTTCTCCCTGCAGATCTGCAATGAGAATCCGCAATCGTCTCGCTTCTTCCTGTTGCTTCTGCACCTGGAAGAGTGGACTCTTGATACTCTTGGCGCTCCATAAATCATGGTGACGGTATGACAAATGACCAGCAACCCCTCATAGGTGATTGAGATTACAGTCGTTGGGTACTTTTTTACAGTCCATGCATATCATGCATTGATGTACTTGGCGATTTCAGATGTGTGATGTTTGAATATGTTTGACATGTTTTTACCAGGTCATGGCCTCACCTGCTCCCAATGTTTGGCAATCCTGATTTCTTCAGCATCTCGCTCGATCTTCAAGACATGTTGAAGATCAGGACTGCTGGCTCCAAACTCTGCAGCGAAGCGCAACGTGGCATCCTTGAAAGCGCAGCGCTAGGGGCATCCGAAGATTAATTAATCGACAGTGGTCGATTTGGAAAGCAAAATCAGGATGGACAACTGACAAGCCCATGACATTTCGAAAGATGTCCAAATCTCCCTTCAGTTATCCCAGTTCCACCATCTCTGACCTGTTGCGACAAGTTGAAGAGCCCCGGTCCATTTCCGCAGTCGCGAGTGGTCAGAAATCGTTCCACCGCTTTCAAGGCATCGAGTTCCTCCACCTTCGACAGCAGCAAGCGTCGGAGACCTTCGGGTCGAAGACCCGGGCCGTAGCTTCCAACCAAGGGATGCTCCAACTCAGCTGCCTGCCAGGTGAGCACAGATATTGATGTATATGTGAAATGTCCACTACCTTGGTACCTTGATGTGACACTTGTGAACCATAGAACCATGTTGACATGTGAGCACCTTCCGCCGTGTTCGCGTCTCGAGCACCTGCGGAGGGAAGAGGCTGTGGCTGGGCATTGGATGCCCTGACTGGTGCTTTCGCCATTGTTTCCGGGAAAACATTGGGCTGTGCTGCGGTTTGGAACAGGGTTCCTTCAATAACATTTACCATTTGGTTTCTGGTGTTTGGAACACTACAATCTTCTTGGTGCAATTAGGAATTGCAATCTGCTGCCAGTGGGAGAGGTTCAATCCTCTCACACTGGTAGCGGAGCTTTGTGCTCTAGCTTGCCAGCTTGGACTTGACCGTGTCCAAAGGCCAAAGAGTGGGATCCAGGGCAGGCAAGGATGCTTCCTTCCATGTCAGCTGCCGTGGAGACACCCGTGCCTGATGAGCCCAATCCAACTCTTGCTCCACAACTGCCTTGGAGTAGTGTCCCTAAGTTCGTGCCTGGGACCACCAATGTGCAGGAGTATACTCAGAAGTTGAAATTTCTGGCTGCCATGTGGCCAGATGGTTACCTGAATCAGTTAGCCCCTCGTGCTGCCTTGCTTGTCGAAGGAACTGCATTCAGAAAAGTCGCCAGACTTGACCCAGCAAAGCTCAGAGTGAACGATACCTCAGGTGTTGCCTTGCTTGTCAGTGCCATTGGTGGATCTTGGGGCGCCACGGAACTGGAAGAAAGGTATGAATACTTCGAGAAAGCCTTGTATGGAACAGTACAGCGTCAGGATGAAAGTCATGACTCGTTTCTTGCAAGGATGGAAACAAATTTTGTTGAGCTCTTGAGCCGTGAGACTAAGCTTGAGGAGGTTCAGGCCTATGTCTTGCTTCGCCAGTCGCTGCTGAGCCCAGAAGACAAAAAGAAAATCTTGTTGGAACATGCAGGAGAGTTGAAATATGAACCGGTTGTGAAGTCGTTTCGATTACTCGGCAGTAAGTTTTTCTCTGAACCGCAGGGTGGTCGAACCACCAACAAGACCAAAGTCTATGATGCAAATGTTTCCGAGTCTCTGGATGTTGAAAGCAGCCGTGCCTCAGATGAAACTCATGTGGAAAGAGCCTTCATGGCCTTGACAGAAGATGTGGAACCAGAACTAGATCAGGAATACTTGGACATCATGGTTGCGGCCGAAGATCAGGACGCTCTTGTGGTGCACAATTTTGAGCAGGAGCTTGAAGATTTCCTTCAAGACGTTCCCGAGATGCACGATGCCATGGTGACCTACTTGGAGGCAAGATCCAAATTGTTGGGGAAACGCCGCAGCCGTGGGTTTTGGCCTGTGAAGTTTGGAGGAAAGGACGGAAAGTCCGCTGGACGTGGCAAGGGCCGCGGCAAAGGGAAGAAGCAGCGGGAACAACTTTTGGCCCGTATTGCTCGATCCACTTGTCGCATATGTCATCAGAAAGGCCATTGGAAGGCAGAGTGTCCGAACCGAGACAAAAGTTCGGACTCCGGACCTGCCGCATCGGCCAACATTGCCGAAGAGTCTCAGCTGTCAGCCGTCCAAGAAGTGCACTCCGAGCCTGACTCATCCGATCCCGAACCTGAAAGCCGTTTCATGTCCATGCCGAGTAAGTTTTTGTCAGGGTTCAGTGATGAAATAGAAGATGTCTTTGTTGTCCAGGCTTTGCAAAGTGATTCCATGAAAGCCAGTTTTGGGGCCAGAATGAAACAAGCGCTGAAGCCAAAATTGAACCGGTTTGTGTCTGCCTTGATGTCACCGCCCAGGTACTCAGTTGCCTTGAGCCTCAACCGAACAAAGCTGCCTGTACAATCCGATGCCGTGGAACCTTTGCCTGATGTTTGTAACATAGCAGCTGCAAGTGACCGACCGTGTCATGCCATTCTCGACACTGGAGCGAGCCGTTGTGTGATCGGTGAGAAAGTGTGGAATCAGCTGTATGAGAAGTTGCCTGACAATCTCCAAAAGAAAGTTCGCAAGACCCCCAGCAAAGTGAAATTCCGTTTTGGCAACAATCAGACCTTGCAAAGTGAATATCAAGTTCAGGTACCATTGCAAAGCAGTCCCAAACACAAGAGAAAGCTTTGGTTGAGCATTGAAGTTTTGCCAGGACACACTCCGTTTCTTTTCAGCAAACGTGCATTCAAACAACTTGGGGGAATTTTGGACAC